TATACAAAAATAGAAAAGGGTGTAAGACAATGATATGTCGTCTCACTGGATTTATTTAATTTATAGAGTGAGGCAATCCTCAGAGAACTAGAAGTCCTACCAGGTCTTATAAAAAAAAAGAATGCTGAACTGCTACATAATATCAATCCTCTTATATGGCAGTGAATGTTGGACAATTTCCTTACAGGTGAAGAGGAGACTTGAAGAAATGGAGATGTAACTCTACAAAAGAATTCTGAGAATACCAAAGATGAAACATATGGGAAATGAGGAAGTTTTAAGATAAACAGAAAAGGAAAGATCACATATACTTAGAATTAGAAACTGTTAAAATTTCTGGACACATAATAAGAAAAGAGGCTTTGGAGAATTTGACACTCACTGGAGATATTGAGGGACAGAGGGAAACAGTAAGTAACCTACCAAATGTAAATGGATGGCAGAACATGGAGAGATAGTAAAAAAAACATACATTGCTAAGAGCAACAAAGGATAGGAAGTTGTGGAGAACCATGATCAAACATGTCCTGAAGGAACACAGTAGATAGAAGATATTAGTATTATAATGAGAGTGTGGGAAAGAAATATTTTTCTCCCAATTACATTTCTCTAGTTATGAGCATTGTTATATCCATGATATAACCACACCATAGCTCATCGCAACCATTCCCCAGGGTCAGCACCTCTCAGTATAATTTTCCTCAGTTGTGACTCTGTCTTTTGACTGAGCTGCCGCTGAGTGCACTCTGCCCAAAGACAGAGATTTCCCAGGGCCGGCACCTTCCAACATAATTTTCCTTTTCTGCCCAAAGACAAAGATGTAACTGAGAGATGATAACATGTTACAAACTATTTAATAGTAATTTGTATTTACTCACCCCCCCCCGCCCACCACCAGGTCAGGTTGTGCCACAAAGTTGGTTTAATTGGGGGAGCTCAAGGGTGTACATGCGGGCCAGGAACAAAAATTCCCTAAGCCCCCACAACTGTCGGTTGCGCTGGCCTCAGTGCAAGCACCAATCCCTCACTCTAGAGCAATGAGAGGGTATGGCCTTGGACAACCATTCCCCAGGGCCAGCACCTCTTAGCATAATTTTCCTCAGTTGCGACTCTGTCATTTGACAGAGTTGCCCCTGAGAGCACTCTGTCCAAACATAGAGACGCAACTGAGAGATGATAAATAATGTGTTATAAACTACTTGCGAAAGCAGAGATTTACTTGACCCCCCACTTCCACTCACTGACTCAGGTTGTGACACAAGGTCAGTTTTTTAATGTGGGGACCCGAGTGTTTTCATTAGGAACACTGGTCTTAGCTGGTCATAGCTTGTTCAAGCTGGTCATAGCTAGTCATAGATGGTCTTAGTTGGTCAGAGTTCGTCCATGCTAGTCATAGCTGTGATAATATCAGTACAGGGACAGATCCCTGTGACCAGTAAGTATCAGAATGTGTAGAGATTTACTTGACCCTCCACTGAGTCAGGTTGTGACACAAGGTTAGATTTTAACATGGGGACCCGAGTGTCTTCACTCAGGCCATTGGTCTTAGCTTGTCCAAGCTGGTCTAAGCCGGTCCAAGCTAGTCATAGCTGTGATACTATCAGTGCAAAGATGGACCCCTGTGACCAGTAAGGAGATTTACTTGACCCCCACTGAGTCAGGTTGTGACACAAGGTCAGTTTTTAACATCGGGACCCGAGTGTTTTCACTCGGGTTGCTGGTCCAAGCTAGTCTTAGCTGGTCATAGCTTGTCCAAGCGGATCATAGCTGGTCCAAGCTAGTCATAACCGTGCTACCACCAGCACAGAGATGGATCCCTGTGACAGGTAAGTATCAGAATGTGTATACCACTCTAGAGATAGGATTACACGGAATCAACTTGAAACCCCCACTGAGTCAGGTTGTCGGTTTTTAATGTGGGGACCTGAATGTTTTCACTCAGGCCGCTGGTTTTAGCTGGTCATAGCTTGTCGAATCTGGTCAGAGCTTGCCTAAGCTAGTCTTAGCAGGACCAAGCTTGTCAGAGCCAGTCCAAGCTAGTCATAGCTGTGATACTACCAGTGCAGGGACGGATCCCTGTGATCAGTAAGTATCTGAATGTGTATACCCCTCAAGAGACATAGTATTTACATGACCCCCCCCACACACACACACTGAGTCAGGTTATGACACAAGGTTGGTTTTTAACGTGGGGACCTGAGTGTCTTCACTCAGGCCGCTGGTCTTAGCAGTTCATTGCTTGTCCAAGCTAGTCTTAGCTGGTCAGAGCCTACCCAAGTTAGTCATAGCTGTGATACTACCAGCACAGGGATAGATCCCTGTGACCGGTAAGTAGAGATTTACTTGACCCCCCACTGAGTCAGGTTGCGACACAAGGTCAGTTTTTAATGTGGTGGACCTGAGTGTTTTCACTCGTGTTGCTGGTCCAAGCTGGTCTTAACTGGTCATAGCTTGTCCAAGCTGGTCAGATCTGGTCTAAGCTAGTCATTGCTGGTCTTGTCATGTCTTGTCATAGCTGATCAGAGCCGTTCCAAGCTAGTCGTAGCCGTGATACCACCAGCACAGGGACATGTGGGGTTCAGTGTACCCGGATTAAAGGAGAATTTAATACGGGATACCCTGCCCACAAAATACAACGCAAATTTCAAGAAGAAACAACACGATAAGGAACGTTTATAAAAAATAGAACATTGTATATTTATTATCTTGTGAATAGGGTAAAAAAGATTACTGTTTTAGTTCGTTTAAGCAAAAATGTGATTTTGATAAAAATGTCTGTGTTCGTTGTCTTTTAACAGAGTAGCAGAATAATGTCTGTTTCTTTTGTTTTGTATAGTTGTAAAATGAAAAAGGGGCGAGCAATTTAAGTTGAAAGAAAGAGTATGAATGTGGAATAAAGATAAAAGGAAAATGTACTTATGAATTGTTTTGAAGTCAGTTGTAAATTTGTTGTTGTTGTTGTTGTTCCTTCCTACTCCACTTTTCGGGTTGAGTCAGTGATGGAATTTACTGTCAATCTTCTGTGATCTTTTGCGCCCTTCTCTGACTGACTGACTGGCGACTGACTTGAAAACTACGTATTTATTGTTGACTTTTTTTTCACACTGGCTCGTTATCTTTTTTTTGGTTTAGCAAATCGCCTCCTTTCATTGGTCAGAAAATTAATTTCACACCTTATTGTGAAATCTGCTTTTGGTCGTTTTGATCCGATTTTGCGGGTGTGCAAATCTACTTTGTGTTTTTTTAGTCATTTGTTGGAATATAGGATTTGTATCCTATAGACAGATCCCTGGGCCAGGTAAAGTAAAAATCTCTTTTCTAGACAATGTTGAGATGATACAACTTCCAAGGCGGAATTAACCGTGGAACACAGGATCACGCCAAAGAGTACCCCACAGTGGGACACCAGGGAGATCAAAAAGCAGCGCACAGATACTACACCACAGATCTGGCCAAATTTATGTTATAACATTTGTTTATCTATTCCCTGTTACTGGGAGTGGAAAATGTTAAATTAAAAAAAACCAAATGCTGTCAAAATGCTGGTTAACACTCCCTTATCAGATATACTTGATGGTATGTTTCTCAATCAAAATATATCAGGATAGTTCTTTAATCGATAATGAACTGCTGATTCAATTCCGGGAGTAAAAGGGTTGCGTAGATCAAAGTCGTCATATTTGTTTTGTTTAGAAACTATCAGCGGTGGCTGCGACAGTCTATCTATAAGTCTACCATTTGTCCATGTTTAGAATATTGGTGCCACATATGGTCTGGTGCTCCTGCTCTTTACCTTGACCTCCTTGATAAAATCCAAAGAAGAATCAGTAATATTATCGGTCCTGATCTGGCAGCTCAGCTTCAGTCACTTTCCCATCACCATAAGGTTGCCTCTCTGTAACTTTTCTATAAATACTTTCATGGTAATTGTTCTGATGAACTTCCCGCTATGGTACCTAGACCTTTTTCATTTAAGCGCAGTACTAGACTGGTGTCAGAATCTCATCAATTTACTGCTGAGCTGGCTATATGTAACTGTAAATTCTATGCTAACAGTTTCTTTTCTTGAACTTCTCGCTTGTGGAACTTTCTTCCGGCTGCATGCTTTCCAGCCAGCTTTAATCTGCAAAAATTTAAATTACTATCTACTGTCCTCCTGATTACTCTTTTCTCTTCCCCTCATTTTTAATATTTCTGTTCTTAATTCTTTTACACCCAGTAACCCTTTGTGTCTTAGTGGCTTTACTACCTTGTACAGGGTGAATCTGATTAAAAAAAAGAAAAATGACAGTTCTCATATACTATTAATATTATATTTAATTGAACATAAATTTGCTCTATTGAGGACAATTTCAAGTAGACTTGGAATCAGCATACTCAATTTTTTAGTACAGTGTCAGTTGTTTGAGTAGCAGGCAAAAACTTTTTGCTGCTCAATTGAATTCCTTCACTTTCATAATAAAATTGAACTAGAGAGAATGATCACACACAAAAAAAAAATGAAACCAGACCGCGATTTAGTAGAGATAGAGCCTCAGAACAAACAAATGGTCTGTAATTTTGACCGCTACCACTGAGCACCCAAGGCAAGGATTAGTTGTTTGTGCTGTAGTAACTTGCAACAGCACATGTATATGTGTAACTCTTCAGCAAAAAGAAGTTAAGAAAGTGTTGAAATTGCTGTGCTTGTCTAAGTTGGGCAGTCAGTTGATAGGAGCATCAGCGGCTGCTAGCTGAAAATCTGATCATTTACTTTTTATTTGCGTCACATCAACAGTAATTTTAACATGTCTCTTTTGGAAGAGGATGAAGACGAGAACAATACATGCCCATTCATCGAGATACAAAACTGTATTAATTTTAGAAGTGTGTGCCCAGATTCGATTGAGGGTGCCCCGAATTTGCCCCTCCGCCTCTATCGATCTTCACGTCCCGATCTACTTAATCAACAAGAAGTCGATTACTTTCTCAAAGACCTCAATATAAAATGCATCTTGGATATGAGGTCAACCACTGAATACAAGCGCGCATCCGGCGATAAACTTCTCGACCAATATTTTAGTATTTGTAAGGTACCGTAAAAAGAAAAAGTTTATTTTTTTTTTTTATTTTGACCGGCGACGATTCCCACGATTAAAGTGTTTTTATTTACTTTTAGTTTGCTGAAGTAACTTTATTGTTTGATGCTGAAGCTCTCTTAATTGTTTATTTATGATCTACTACTTTATGTCAAAAATGTAGAATGAAATTTATCGAAACTTAGCACTTTTTAGAATTATCTGGGGGGTTTTTTAAAGTTAATTCATTTCGATTTCAATTACTACGTCACTTTTTTGTTTGTAAATACTTTTTTCAACGTCATAATTATTTTTTCATTAATCTCCATTTCTTCAAAACTTATAAGAATTAATTTATTTTCAGAACTTAGTGACCAATTATATTTCGCCCGTGTTAAACAATTGACGAATAACGTTTCTTCATTTTTAAATGAATTATCCTATTTTCTCGTCGTGAAGAAAAAAGTTTAGAGAGGAAAATGTTACCAGAAAGTTAATGTCGCTATATTATTTAGTCTTTTTGTTGTTGTGAAACCAGTTAAACATTCATTAGGCCCTAAAATGTTATTTATAGAATAAAAACTCGGAAAATCGACTTAGGTCAAATAAGAAAAAGTGTCAGGAAGTTTTTTGAACCAAGAAACCGAGGCGAAACCCATCCATTGTTATTCATTAACTTCATCTTCTTCATAAACACTGATTTTTGTAGAAGGAAATAGTGCAAAATGATGCAAAATTAACTTTTAAAACACAGGCTTCCGCTTTTAGCAGTTGTTGCATGAATATTGAAAACTTTGTAAACTTTTTCATTTCCTTGCATTCTTGAATGCCAGTGCCCTTTTTTTAAATTTCATAATTGCAATGTGTTTTATTTTATTTATTTATTTATTTCATTTTTTTATTTAATTATTCTAAATTCCTTTAAGTGCAGCATCTTTTAGTTTTAAGTGATAAGAAAACGTTATCTTTCCTTCTTGGTCAAAAAACAACTTTTATTTTTTAGCAATGATCACGAAACTACTTTTTTGTTGCTATATTGCTGAGTGTGGCTCTTTTTGCATTGTTTTTAATTTCGCTGTCTGTTTTGTTTTTAATACAATTGCTTTTATGATTTTTTCTATTTAGTTTTAAAAAATCCTTTGTGAAATATTACTACCGCGTTATTTTAAAAAAAATTTAAGTTTTTTTTACAAACTGGTAGCTAACAAATCTCTTTCAATTTTTATAAATTTATTTTAAATCTAGCATTAGTTTTGTTTTGAAATTTATTTACTCGTTTCTTTTTGCATGTTTAGTGTTATTGTTGATAATGAGTTTTTTCTTCAGTAGTTTTGCAGTTATAACAAAAATAAACCTCAATAATTGACAATAATTTAAGATGTTTAAACTTTTCAGACTATTATCTTTCTTTAAGGTTTTACAATACAAATAAGAACTGTTTTTGTATTTAAATTAAAAATGCTTGAACGGGAATAGCTTTTTAGGTTTTTTTAGTCATTCACATTTAAAAAAAAAATAAAAATAAGGAAACATGAATAAGTTATTTAGTTAATTTAATTTTTTTAAAATATTGATTTGGTAGGGAGTGGAAAATTCTCGAATTAGTAAATTATTGCATTCTTATGTTTTTTATTTATTTATTTATTTGAAGTTTAATTACTTTTTTTTTAGTTTAAAAACACAGGATTTAAAAATGTGTTTTTTTTCCCCTTTTCTTTTTGTAAATACAGTCTTCTACACCCACTTGACTTGTCCAACAACAATGAAAAAAATTGTCTCTTCTTACACAGTAATTAATGAACTAATTCTTCAAAAGTACTTTTGTTAAAATACCGAGTAATTGCTTTCTTGGAATGAATGTTGAATAGAATTGGCCAAACTGGAATGAAGTTTAAAAAGCTTAGAAATGGCCTGTAAAATTTGAATTCAAATTGCTTCTTTCTTTGTTTATCTAAGTACTTAAGTTAAAATACTAGTCATTCATTTTTAAAACTGTTTTTAACTTTTTATTAAGATTTTGAAACTATTTCTCAATAAATTATTACTGGATATCTTTGTGCCACATTATTTATCTGATACTCATTGCTTTATCAACTTAAATTTTATTTTTATACGTCATTAACATTGATTCGCGTTTTTTATTTGTTTATATTTTAATAGTTTTTATTTTTTTTAGCCTTTGAATAAATATTCCAATGCCAAATAAAATTCACATTTTATTTTTCTATTCAAGTAAAACTCCTGCGTGTATAAATAATTCATTGCTATTTCAAGCTGAGTCATTTTATGAAAAGAAAATATCAGACCGTATACTCGTGTATAAGTCTACTACTTCATGTATAGCGCGAACACTGAATGTTTTTGCATCCCTCCAGAAAAAATTTACCTGTGTATTGTAGTGCTATCGGTTACCAAAAATGCATGATTTTTATTTTTTATCCCCTTCAAAAAAAGATCTGTGTAGTGTATAGAGTGACCCCTATTTTTGCGTTAAAAAAAATGATCCTAAAAACTCGCATGGTTACTTACTATTCAATTCATTAATTAATTCATCAATGCATGAATGAAAAATACTTGTAGGATTTTTTTCATTCTTAGCTTTTTTTACTGGACAATTTTGATTTTTTTTATTGCTTGTTCCGTGTTTAAAATTTAAATTTGTTTATATATGTTAGGTTTGTATCCCAAATTCTAAAAAATTATAAAACATCAATCAGAAAAATTTCACTTTGTAAATATAAAAAACAAAACAAAAAAAAACCCTTACTTCTCTCTTTCGGTTTTTCTGTAACATGCGTAAAATACTTTTTAATTTTTCATTTTGCATGTTATTTTTCTCTCTCTAATTTGGAAGAAGGAAACTATCTTTTAAAAAAAATCATCTTTTTTGATCGTGGAAAGACGGAAAAGGAGTGCTATTTGGTTTCAGTGAGAAAATGAAGGAAAGAAGGGGATTTGATAGAGAAGTGTTTTTAGTGTTTTCAGTGAAATTGAATAAGTTGTCAATTTCAAATCTTTTCATTTGTCACCCCCTTTCTTAATGAAATAACGACCAGAATTCATATTTAATTATTGTTATTGCAATATTTTGTTATCTCTATCTAAAAGGCAGGATGTGCGTGTGTGTAACGAATGCACGGCCGCAATTTTCGACGGATTTGCACCAAAATTTACATGCACATGCTACAAGTTAGCGGGAAGGCCAAGACCGACTTTGCATTTCCCAACTCCCATCGATAGTGGAAATAATCGATGTTTTCATGCTTCTACGACAGTTTTCATGTAGTTTGCGGCCATTTTCTACTGGCCAGAGTGGCTGCCACGAATAGGCAGGAAGATTTTATTGGCCAACAGCTGACTGACGCGAATGTTAACTAGCATGCTAACATGCAAAAATATCGATAGCTGCATTCGTCACAAGTGGGAAAAATGTAAATCTGCATGGCACTTTATTCCAATTGGCTCATTCACTTGCTTAAACTCAACATTGATTATGATTACGCAGATCTGGGTTAGGTGTGAAAAAGTATTTGTTGTTAACATTCTTTTTTTCATTCGGTTTTTCCAGTTACAAGTCCTTTTTTTAAACTGATCATTTTGTGTTCATTTTGTTTAGTTCTTTTTTGTAACAGATTTAATGTTTAGTATAGAGGTTAGGAAAAATTCACAGTGTGAGATAGGCACGAAGTAAGGCATGTAGCAACATCAGCACGGCAAAGGGCAAAAATATTTTAAGTCAAGTGATAGTGATTGCTGTACGAGTCGTACGATTTTTGAATCAAGCACGGGCAACGCCGAGCCATGCTGCTAGTAGTTACTAAGTTAGTTGTTAAGCTCAGGTATTTTAATGATGCGATAGAGTAATGTTTAGTTTACAGATAAGATATTTTATTGTTGTAGAACTTGCCATGAGCTTATTCAATCATTAACTTAAGAATCAAGAAGATTCATCAGAAAATTCAAATAGGAAAACTGAAATTTTCATGGGTACTTTTATTTAATTTTAGTAGTACAAATGACTTGGTTAAGTCATTTCTCATTTAAACAAAGAAGGAAGGATGTTTCCACATTAAGTTAAATTTTTTTTATAAAAGTTTTCTTTGTAGATTATTTATTGACACTGAAAACTGATTAATTTTTGAACTTCAAGTGTAATTTAGGATTATTATTTGAGACTGTTTTTTACAAGGTGTATTATTCAGTTTTTTGGTATGAAATAAGGGAAAATATTTACCCAAAGGAAATGGATATTTTAAAATAAGAGTGCAAGTATGCTGAATAATTTCAGCTTTTTACAAGAGAGTGTAATTAGATACTCTAAGGAAGAAAAAATTATGAATTTGATTCTCACTCTCACTAGGTGCTCAATGGCTGAATTAATTATCAAAATTTTCTCAGGGCAGCCTGAAATGAATTATCATTGATTATATAACCATCAACAAAAGATTCAAGAATGCAATGATTCACTGCAAAACCTACCCAAGCACCGACTGCGGAAGTGATCATCACCCTCTTATATGTAAACTAAGAGTGAAAGTGTGGAAATTGAAGAAGTTTAACACAACACCTAAACTGCAATACAACAAATTCCTGAGTGATTCTAACCTAAAAGAAAAATACATAGACAATGTGAAAAGATACAAGGCACACAATGGAAACTCAAAATGGGATGCACTAAGAGACACTTTAGTGACATCATCAAACAATATCATCCCAAAGGAGACAGGATGAAGAAGGAGAAACAAATGGATGACTGATGAGATTCTCGACATGATGGAAAGGATACAGAAAACTCGGCCAAGATACGGGACAGAGTACAGAAAATTACACAATGAAATAAAAACCAAATGCAGACAAGCTAAAGAAGAATAGCTAAATGAAAAATGTGTAGAAATAGAAAGATTGAGTACTACCAACAAGAGACATGCACAAACAAATAAGACAACTAACAGGGCAAAAGATATGCTCGTCAATAGACTGCCTAAAATGAAAGGATGGAACGCTCATATTAGAGA